CTGCAAGATAGATAGACAAACTGTCCCGGCCCTTCCCTGTAAATACACAAATGCAACTGAGTGGGGCTGGCATAGGTTTTGGCCCAAAAGCCAGAAAAGGAAAATAATTGCTGGTTCTCTTCCGCATCAGATATGCGGTGGAACGAGTAAAGGGAGGGAGGAAACAAAGACTCAGCACTCCTTCTCAGTACAGAGAGAAAAAGCAATTCCAGTCTAGTTCTGGAACTAGGAATTCTAGATTTCCTTTCCTGGGGAGGCTTCCAGGCTCAGGGTTAAGTCCCTGAACCTCTCTTTTTATAAGTCAAGCATCACATGATAACAGGAAATGGTACCCACTACTCCTCACCCCGGAAAGAAAATCTGGGATGGCTGCCACAGCCCACTAGGAGTTAAGCTGTTCCCAGAGAAGCCAGCCAGGCCAAAAGGAAATGGGATAGAAACTGCAGGCCGTCTACATTATGAAGTCCCAGGAAGCTCATCCGCCCTTCCTGGTGGAAAGAGCCTAGAGTCTGAAAGCTTTCTGCTTAGGCCAGATTAACAAGCAAAAATGCCCAAAGGAAATAACCCTGGGAGATGAGCTGGGCATCAGACTACTCCTAAACATGGAGGTTCTACAAGCCATCAACCAATTTCCCTCCGCCACCCTTCGCTCTTCCTACTCAGATATGTCAAATCCCTTTTTAAAATCACCTCAGATAATATTCTATTATCATATCTTGTGGCAGGGAGTTCCATAGATCCATTCTGATTGTTCAAAGGAGAGCTTTCTTTTGCATAGACAGGTAGACTTGACTGGAGCAGATGCCTTAAAAAAAAAAAAGCAAAACACTTCTCCTTCACAGCCTCAAAGAGGGGAAGGCCTCTCAAGTGCCCCATCAGGAAAAAGAGTAGCAACCTGTCTGTCCTGAAGGTATCAGGTAGCTCCGTCAGGTGAGTTGGGCAGGAGAAAGGAACAGGTCACCATTGCTTTCAAGTTATTAGGAGGAGGTAATCTGTTGCAGGGTTTAATATGATGCAGGGAATTTTAAAATGGACACAGTGTGGAGACAAAGGACCCATTCACACTACATAATTGTAGCACTATGATTCCACTTTAGATGCCATGGTTCCACCCTATCGATATTTGGGATTTGCAGTTTAGGGAGGAATGTTTAGGATCCTCAGCCAAGGAGCTCCAGTGCCTCATCAAACTACAAACCCCAGGATTCTATAGGATGCAGCTACAACACATAAAACGGAATCATAACACTGTAATTGTCTAGTGAGAAAGGGCCCCTAGAAAGTTACTTTGCACCTTGGGGGAAGTCCAGCTCCAGTAAATGCACAATGAAGACCTGGGGCTGCAGAGAAGGTACCTGTGGTGCTATTGGGAAAGCAAGGCAAGGCACACCTTGTAAGGGAAATCACAAGTCGTGCAACCTCCAGGCTGTAGTATCCTCACTGCACTCATGGCACAAACATGGATCGCTCTTTGATAAGCGGTCCTTGGCATCTTACTACCTGCCTTGTGCAAAAACCAGAAAGCTAAGGCAGATCTCTGACTCTCCATCTCACATCACTGGGGGCATACAGAGAAGCTAGAAGTGGAATTGACGGCTCTGGGAATTGTCTCTGAGCCTGCCCCTTGTAAGCTTGGCAGGTTGAGGGGTGGCACAGGTATTGTGGTGGATAGGAGAAGAAAAGCCTAGATCCACCAGACACTTTGGCTGAAAGGGCCAGGCCAAAAAGGACACATCTTGCCCACAAACAAAAATCTCTGGGCCAAATCAAATCAAATTGCTTTGATGCAATTTGGGCTTCACCCAACTGCTGTGGATTCCTCCCTTGGCCAAGGGTTAAAACAGTGATTTCCAAACTATGATCCTCCAGGTGTTTTGGACTTGAAGCCCCAGAAGCCCCAGCCAGTTTGGCCAACAGTCAGGAATTCTGGGAGATGAAATCCCAAACATCTGGAGGACCAAAGTTTGGAAACCACTGGGTTAAAACAAGCTGAAACATTTTTATGGCATCAGGTTTTTAGAAACAGATTGGGGTAGGCTTTGAATGCTGTGTGGTGCTGTTTTGAAGGTCTGTACATAGCCTTTTAATTCATTTTAATGCTTTTAATGTTTAATGTTTTAAACTATATAAATAATTGTTTTTACATAAATTATATATATGTGTGCGTGTGTATGTTTGTGTACACTTTTATCGAAGGTGTATAGTTTTCATCTGTAATGTTTTTAAATGTTATTAGTTGCTTTGAGTCTCATTATTGAAAGAAAGGCAGGATGAAAATGATAATGATGATGATGATGATAACAATAATAATATCATCTCATTATCATCATCATCCCACCTTTCTCCCAATGTGGAACCCAAGGCAGCTCAGACTATAAATTAATACAAAACAGGAGTCGTGGGGTCAGATTCAGAAGCAATTTTGGGTGGAATTGGAGTCAGTAGAAATGTGCCCACTCCATCTTCAAAATAAAAACTGACAACAATAGAGCTTGAGTCTCCCTTATATGCAATTCCAAAATCCAACACTTTTTTCATGGCTAGCTGAGGCAGTGACACTTTTTGCTTTCTGATGGTCCAATGTACACCAACTTTGTTCCATGTACAAAATTATTAAAAATATTGTGTATAAAATTACCTTCAGGCTATGAGTATAAGATGTACATGAAACATAAATGAATGTTGTGTTTAGACTTGAGTCCCATCTCCAAGCTATCTCATTAGGTATACACAAATATCTCAAAATCCAGAAAAATCCAAAATAATAATAATAATAATAATAATAAATTTTATTTATATCCCGCCCCTCTGCTGGGCAATCGGAGCGGCGAACAAGATTAAAATACTTCTGGTGCCAAGCATTTCGGAAAAGGGAGACTCAGCCTGTATATATTAACATATCATTTTGTACTTATATTTTATACTTCATCCAGCAATATATATGTTATGTTCTCTCAATCTAAATAGCTTGACAATTCACGTGGGGGTGATGAGATGCCTTATGCTACCATTTTACTACAGTAAATTTGTTATGACCGACTCATCTACATTTGCTATTTATGAAAGAGCTGGAGTCAGAACCTGAGAGTTGAAAAAACAAGGAGCCTGTGTCCAAAGTTTGGTGCACTGACTCCACAACCCAGATACAAAATACAAGGGCTGATACAAAAGTTTCCAAAAACCTAATTAAACAAGCAATCCTATTGGAAACATTAAAAGTTTGGTAGAAGGGAGTTAAAATGTAATAAAACTGACAAAAACACAATACAGATGTCTGGGGCTTTTGGTGGTGTTGGGGCTTTTAATCCAAACAAGACACTTTTCCAAACTCTGGACCTTGCAAAAGAAATGGTGCGCCTCCCTCCTACCTCTATGGTTGCATCCACACTGCAGAAATAATCTGGTTTGACACTGCTTTAACTGCCCTGACTCAATGCTATGGAATTCTGGGAAAGGTAGTTTACAGTGGCACCAGAGCTTCATCCACACTGCAGAAATAATCCAGTTTGACACCACTTTAACTGCCCTGGCTCAATGCTATGGAAGGCTGGGAATAGTAGTTTGTCATGGAATCAGAACTTCATCCACACTGCAGAAATAATCCAGTTTAACACTACTTGTCATGGCTCAATGCTATGGAATTCTGGGAATGGTAGTTTGTAGTGGCACTATAGCAAAGCTCTTCTGCTCAGCCATGGAAACCCACTGGGTGACCGTAGGCAAGTCACACTTTCTCAGCCTCAGACGAAGGCAATGTCAGACTTCCTCTGAACAAATCTGACCAAGGAAAACTGAGCAAAGCTCTGATGCCACAACAAACTAGCATTCCCAGAATTCCACAGCATTGAGCCATGGCAATTAAAGTGATGTCAAATCGGGTTATTTCTGCAGTGTGAATGCAGCCACAGAGGGGTCCTGATTCGGACCTTTCTCCCCCCCTCCCATTTGTCCTCCAGATCTCCTTTCTTGGCAGCCTGAAAGTGAGTCAACTTGTACCTCCTATTTCTGAGGAGACCTTGGTCCAAACCACACTGCAGAAATCATCCAGTTTGAGATCGCCTGAACTGCCCTGGCTCAATACTAGGGAATCCTGGGAACTATAGTTTACTGTGACCCAGGGCTCTCTGATAGAGCATGCTCAGTGTCTCACAAAACTAGTCCCCAGGATTCCCTAGCATTGACCACACTGCAGAAATCATCCAGTTTGAGACCGCTTGAACTGCCCTGGCT